TCACTGGGGAGGGGAGGAGGGGGCAGCTTTGGCCCCCAGGGTAGGGCAGAGAGGAAGAGAAAACCTCCCTGCCCTTTCCCTGCTTCCTGGGGGGGAGGGTGCCCCATGGCCTTGGGCCTCCCCCAGGCGAGGGGGGGGCGGGGGGGGGGGGGGGCCAGGAGACGGGGCAGGGGCAGCCGAGAGGCAGCCATCAGAGACAAGGACATGCCGTGCCCGGTGGGCCTGAATGCTTTCTTTACAGCTTTGGAGGGCCTTGGCTAAGTACAAGGCCTAGGCTTATGTTCAGACGCTGAGGGATGGGCACCAACGGGTGGCCTACTATGTGACAGATGCAGCATCTACACCCAACACCCAAGTGCCCTGCAGGGAGACACTGCACTGTGACAGATTCTGAGAGACTCAGCGCCCTGACACGCATTAATGTCGAGGCCCAAACCAGGGTGGGAGAGGAGGCAGCAAGAAAAGCTGGCTGGCTCAAGTGTCTGAAATGCTTCCAGGTGGTCTGGAGGAATGTGGGGATGCAACAGTTCTGTGAGAACGGGGACCACCGAGGGAGGGCCGGCTTGGCACCCGAGGTGTAGGTGGGGAAAATGTGTACAGGGAAAGCCACCATGGAACACACCCACTGAAAACAATTAAAATTTCCGTGACGCTCACTGTATAGCAGGCACCATTAGTACTTACATGGTAACTTATTTAATCCTTGTAACAACTTGGGAGATGGGTGCTGCCACTCCCATTTTTACAGATAGAGGGATTCCACTGACTTGTCCAAGATCATCCAGAGAGAACTGGGCTCAAACCCAGATCAGTTGGCTTTGGGGTATTTAGGGAGTGGAGTTTCTAATCAGCTAATGGTTGAGACTTGAGAAGGCCGCCTAAGAAGCCTTCCTTCCAAGTATGCTCAGTCCCAAGCAGCTCAGTCTGCTGGCTGCCAGGAAATGAAGGGGCCACTGAGGTCAGGTTCAGGAGATGCCAACTAGAAATTCCCACACACTCAACTAAAGTACCCAGGGCTGCATGGTGGAGGCAGTTAGCAGCTCTTTGGAAGGAGTGACAATGGCTCAGACCTAAAGCACCAGGAATCCACCAAATGGAGAGGGATAGCATCCCAGGCCAGGTGAACAGCCTGGGAGGCCAGTTTGGTCTGTCTGCAGAAGGCCGAAGGCCAGCAGCACAGGACTAGGCTTGGGGACACGAGCCATACACCAGTGGGACAGGGTGGGCAGGGCCCTCACCTGCTCAAACTCATCTGTGATGGTCTTGGGCTCCTCATGCCTCTGAAACCACATCATGTACTTGGTGTGGAATCTCCAGGACTGCTTCTTCAGGGCCTTGGCTGCCAAGTACTGCGCCTTGGTTCCCTGGGAAAGAAAACACAGAGGAGGACAGAGAGGTAGCCACACTGGGTAGAGAGCAGGGGGACAGGGCAGGGCATCAGGGCTGGCCTCTGGCCCACAGCAGACCAACTGAGGTGGAGAGCCCACCTAGAGACAGGTGGTGAGAACTGCTCTCAGAAAAGCTTTCAGAGAGCAACTAATGCATAATGGAAGCTGAGAGGAGACTGTATGGAGGAACTCAAGGAGAGATGGAGAGGGGCTGACTCACTGCAATCAAGAGGTCACACACAGTCCCCAGAGGTCTCTAGGGAGGCCCTGAGAGTGTCTACCACA